GTTCTTAATGAGGGCAAGCATAAATGTTCTAAAAGAAGGAACAAGTATTTCTTTGCTTTTGAGATCAACTATTTTTAGTGGTGCAAGGTCAAACAGTAGACTTTGGCCTGAAAATATGTTTGGTAAAGATAATTTTCAAGGAAAAGGAAGCAGGAGTAATATGTTATTTTACAGTAAAGCATACAGATTGCTAGTCTGGATGTCATGGGTAGATAATASAAATGAACAATTGCATGTGTGTGTTTTGCTATGTTAACTTACATTAGCATGTGAATAAAACACTGTCTTTTCTGAAAATAAAAATGCACTAGGATTTCCGTAAACAAAATTTGTGCTCTAGATTTGCTTCATTATACGACCTTTGGTTAGCCTTTAGAAGTAGAACATGAATCTATGAACAACTCAATCTCTAGTCAACAAAGTATCCTGACAATTTGATAGACAGCGAAATAAACCCCTGCTGTCTCAAAAGTACTCCAGCAGTAGCAAGCAATAAGATGTCCTCAGAGCCAAGRTAACTGTGGAAAGTATGAGATGGGTGTTCATTTCTATGAACTTTCCCCCTCTAGGCTCACCTCCTCAGTAGAACTATAGTCAGCCCCTGTGTGGTCTCTGGGTGGGAGGAGGAGGAGGAGGTGGATGGGTTCCAACTTCCAGACCTGGCATCCAATCAGGCAACCAATCAAAAAAACATTTTCTTTTGCCTAAGAGAGCATGTTAGGACAACCTTCAAGGCCTTCTCTCYCACACTATGCTTTGCTGTCTGCCTTAGAGGTGAAAGAGACCCTATCACCCTGTCTAATGAACTCCTGCGGGGTCTTCTGAGTCACTCTTGTTTCTTACATGACCCTTTTCTTCATCTTCCTCTCTGAGATCTCCAGAGCAGCKGTTAATGGAAAGGAGACCACACTGAGCAGGGACTCCTGGGAATACTTCCCCAGGCTACAGGCATCGCTAACCAGGGAAGGGCCTGTGTGTGTGCTGCAGTTCTGACTTTAGGGGTCTATGGTGAGCAGCAGGAGCTGTGGAAAGAGTCCATCCCTAGGAAGCAGGCTTTGTGGAATGCTTTATCCATCATCGGTGCCTGGGGTGCTCCCTCCCCCACCTTGGAAGGAAAAGCAGAGTTTGTGGCTAAAAAGGCCTGAGGTTTTATGGAGTTTCTGTGGCCAAGTGTATTGAAAGATTGAACACATAGATTTGAGCAGTGTGTGGGAGCAAGAAGAATACAAAAAAAAAAAAAAAAAAAAAAAAAANGGTATATTTACATAGTTCAGGAAAGATGGAAGAGATGGAAAGTCAAAAAAAAAAATCAAAGGAGCTGAAATAGCAAATAAGCTCCATTATTAATATAAATAACTATTATCCCCTGGAGTGTAGATAAGCTTGTTTTACTAAGCAGTCTTTTCAGCTTTAGACATGAAACCACAAAAAATAAGACCCAAAGCCATAATTAGGGGCAGAGCTGCACAACAGCATTAGATATGCTGATCTCTTGTGGTGGGAAGGACCGGTCTTCCCTGGGGTGCAGGAGAGGCTTCCGCTCAGGCCTCCACCAAGGTACTTGTGCACTGCTTAAAGGTCCCCCTCCACTGTTAGGAATAATATCTGGAGCTGAATAACACATATTTAAATGAAATATTTTATATTAAAAGATACGTTGCAAATAATTTTGGATCTTTATTTATCTCTGGGAGAACTCCAGTCTCCTATATGTGATTTTGTCATAACGGGAACATAGGCAGTTATATTAAAAAAAAAAAAAAAAAAAAAAAGCAGCACATATCCCTGTGCCAAAAATATTTTATGGCTCTAGCTCAAAGAGACTGCATCACAACTCTAGATCGAGCTTAAAAACAAACACTTTGACACTGAAACTGAGTCACTGAACATGTCCCATGATGTCTTCCCCCTCTCAAGAGCTTGAAAGCCAAGCAAGAGGCAAAGCAGCAGCAGACAGGAGAAGACCTAGACACCGTGGAGGAGCGGTGTGCTCGCCTGCCTCCTKCCCTGCGCAGCCACGGCCGCAGCAGCTCCTTGGGGAGGACTTTCTGTAGCCGAAAAGAAACGCCTGGGGTTAATTGCAACGCAATGGCTCCGAGGGGATGTGCGGCTGACCAATAACCCCGGAGCAGGACCAGGAACTAAGTTCGGTGGGAAAAATAAATAAATAAATAAATAAATAAATAAATAAATAAATAAATGAAATATTTATAAAAGGCCGAGCGGCCCGGGCTGCAGCAGGAGCGCGGCTCCGGGCTGCCGGTGCACGAAGGGCGGCCGCAGGGGAGCATCTGGCCCCGCCGGGTGCCGCGAGGCTCCGCGGGGCACCGCGCCCCCCGGTGGCCGCCGGCCGCAGGCGGGACCCGACGGGGCGGCCCGCGCCCCGCGCCCGCCCCCAGGCTGCTCCGCCGCTCCCGGCTCCGCGGGCTGCCGCCCTCATGGAGGAAGAGGCACGGGGCAAAGCGAGGGGGGCCTCGCCGCCTTCCGAGGGACCGGCCCTCGAAGAGGCTTTCACCTGGTATCTTTAGGGATTAAAATGCTCCGCTGCGGAAATCGGATGGGAAATTTCACATTGATTTGAGCGGGCCTCAGAACAGAATTGGCCTCTAAACTGATCTTATCATATAGGTCCGAAGGAAATGACAAACTGGAGGCTTCCACATCAACAAATAGGCAGTCAGGAACTGTCTATTTGTGCAAATGTGTATTAGATACATTATGGAATATCTCCCAGAATCCCCACCAGTGAAGGAATTTTGTGTTTTAACATARTGAATACTTTTAAGAGCCCAATTACACTCTACATATGTATATGCAGCATCATTAATAGATGATTAACAGCCTAATACAACTCAATGGTCACATGTGTGAGGATTCCTCAGCGTACCACATTGTAGCTGTAACTAGAAGACTAGCATACTTTAGTTTTTAAACTTGTCCACTAATTTATAAATAGGCAAACAAATAAAAACTTTCATGCATTATTTAAAAAAAAAAAAAAAAAATCAGTGAAAGGACCAAATTGTCATTCCAGTCTCCTCCAAAGCCTGAGCTAAGGCAGTGCCTGCCTACCCTGGCACTGTCTAATTGGAGGCCTACAAGAGCAATATGATCAAGATCATAGCTCCTGACTAGGTAACAACTACTAAGTTAGGTTTTGCACTCCTGTGTTGTTTCTGTAACAGGAGGAGGCAGAGAGAGTGGAAGGAAGGAAGGTAGGAAAAAGTGACAAGACTTTTGCCACCCCACATGAAGTTCTTTTTTTTTTTTTTTTTTTTTTTTTTTTTTTTTTTTTTAAACTACCAAAGCAGAAGTGCACCCTAGACATAGGCCTCCTTAAAAGACTTGCCCATAACAAGCTCCTTTTCTTCCTGAGTTGCCAAAGCTGGCTAGGGATGTTCACTGCCTCAAGTTCCTACCTTTGCTCTGCATCCCAGAGGAGCATCAGGGCTCTGGGCAAAGGCAGAATAATTGGTGAGAGGAGCAGGGAGYGGAGGCAGCTCTTTCTACCCTGGCAGGGAGCAGCTATTGCAAACATAAGAGAGACCCAAATCTCCTCACACAGGCTTTAACACCACACATGGTGTTAAAGTGAAATAACGGGGTCTATGGAGTTTCAGGGGAAACCAGTCTGAGAACCAGGGGACCTGCAGCTTGGGGCTGGGTGTCTGCACGATTTCCCTCCTCTGCATAAGTGCCCCCTGCCTATTTCATGCTTGCTCACTGCTCGGCCTCCAAGGCCGAAATCGGAGAGGCCACTCGAAATAGGAGAGCCCACCCGAGAGAAGAGACCCCGATCGCCAGGCAGCGGCCGCCCCGTGCCCGACAGGGGCCGCGGGACCCCCGGCAGGCCGGGCCGGGCCGAACCGGGCAGCCCCACGGCGCCGGGGCAGCTCTCGCGGGTGCGGGCCCCGCGCAGCCCGCGGTGGGAGGTCTCGGTGGGCAGAGCGAGCCCACACTCGGAGCGGAGCGGGGCCCTTTCGCCACTGAGGCAGATGCAGGGAGACTCGTCCTGTGCCCCACAGCGGTATCGTCCCTTTCTTCGCCCTGGTCCTCTTCCCACCGAAGCTGCCCCGGGGCTCCCCGCTTCTGCCCGAGCAGGCGCTCCAGAGGAGTTGAGCCGCTAACGACGAATGGCAACCCGGGGGGCTCTGCTCCAGGCTTTCCACATTTGGGTCCGAGCTGTGGTTAAAGGGACACCTGCCAGAGAAGGGACACAGCGGCGGAGGAGGGGGACAAAACGGCTTTGGCTGGAAACACAAAAGAGAATTTAAAGCAAAYAAGTGAAGTGGCCGGGAAGTGCGGGGCTTGGGCGCCTCCGGAGAGGGCAAAGCCAATGTGCGTCGACGGSGGCAGGCGCTCCAGTTTGGAGGCTGCGGGGTCGCGGGTCCCCCGGGGCTTTCCCTGAAAGGAGCACCAGCACCCACGTACAAAAGGGAGCGTTTCCTTTCGCCGCTGCCTCGGAGGCGGCTTCCTCCGGGCTGACAGGACAGGGTGTCCCGTGCCCTTCGCCAGCCTGCAGCAGAGCCTGGCCCCCCCGGAGATGGGAGTACGACGAGTGCGAAGCAGTGCGTGGGTAGCGATGTCAGTGGATGCTGCTCTGCGCTTAGTTCCTCCTTCCTCCCTTCCCGCGCAAGCCCTGCCCGCCGCGGAGGGGAAAGTCGGGAGGCTCCGGCTGCCTCCCGGCTCCCGAGGGCCCCGGCGCACGGGGCCAGCGCCCGCTCTCTGGCGCCGAGCTGCGCGCAGGATKCGCGACACCGGATCCCCCCTCCTCAATCTGTCCCGAAGCGGAGCCCCGGGCGGGGCTTCCCCAAAAAGAAAGTGCGGAGAGGGGAAAGCAGAAAGGGGCTGGGGGAGGATGTGCGTGTGTGTGCGGAGCGGGAGGCCAGATCGCTTGTGAATGACTTGAAAAAAATATAATCGGAGGAGGGCGTGGAGGGAGGGAAGCGGAAACTTTCCTATAAAACTCAGCAAAAGTCCCTCCTCTCCACGTCAGGCCAATGACACTGCTGCCCCCAAACTTTCCGCCAGCAGGAGCTATAAGAACCTCCAAGTCTTCAACTTTCTCCCAATCCCAGACACCTCGAAGGGGCTCCAAGGAGGGATCGGGAGGGATTTTTTTTTTTTTTTTTTTTTTTGGCTGGCTTTTTTTTCCCCTCTTGGATCTCGATGCCATCCCCCCTCCCCCCGAAGTGAGGTCCTCCCTCCCGCCCTCTCTCCTCCTCCTCCTCCTTCTCGCAGGCCAGCGAAGCAGCCGACCAAGGGGGAGCTGGCGGGTTAGGTGCCCCCCTCTTCTCCCTGCCCTCCCCCCCCTCCCGGCCCGCTTCTTGTGTCTCCCCCCAGAGATGATGCAGCAGGACGAGTCAAACTCGCCAGTCTCCCCCGCCGACGACAGCCTGAGCAACAGCGAAGAGGAACCGGACCGGCAGCAGCTGCCCCATAACAAGAGAGGGGGCCGCAAGCGGCGCTCCAGCCGCCGCAGCGCCGGCGGCGCCGTCGGGGCCGCGGACGAGCCCTGCAGCCCGGCCCAAGGCAAGCGGGGCAAGAAGTGCGGGGCGGGCGCGGGCGGCGGGGGCGGCGGCAGCAGCAGCGGCGGCGGCAGCCCCCAGTCCTACGAGGAGCTGCAGACTCAGCGGGTCATGGCCAACGTGCGGGAGCGGCAGCGCACGCAGTCGCTGAACGAAGCCTTCGCCGCCCTGCGCAAGATCATCCCCACTCTGCCCTCGGACAAGCTCAGCAAGATCCAGACCCTCAAGCTGGCGGCCAGGTACATCGACTTCCTCTACCAGGTCCTACAGAGTGACGAGCTGGACTCCAAGATGGCAAGCTGCAGCTATGTGGCCCACGAGCGGCTCAGTTACGCATTCTCAGTGTGGAGAATGGAGGGCGCCTGGTCCATGTCCGCATCCCACTAGCAGGCGGCGTGTCCCCCCCGCATCCCCCCGGCAGGAGCCCTAGGTAAGGCGGGGTGCCCAGAAACGGGCGGGGAGGGAGCGCCGTGGGGCGGCCACGCGTTGCCTGGCACGCGAGACGGGTGGGAGCGGGGAGGGCCCTGCCTATCGTGCGGGGCCTGTCCGTGAGGCAGCCCCGGGCCGCAGGCCCGGCCGGCTGCGCTGCGGGCGCCCCGCGGCACTCGGGGCCGGAGCCGCCGGCACTGGGGTCATTCCCGGCGCTGCTCGTATTTTGAAGTGAATCCTCGTTCGTGGCGCCTTTCCCGCTGTGCGTTTCCTACGGCGCCGGCAGCCCCTTTCCCGCGGTTCCCACTCGGCGGGCTGGCTGCGCGGGGGTGTTGCGGGGCTTGGCCGCACGCACGACACAGGCACCCGCCGCCTCTCCCGTTCGTGCACGGCATAGGCATCTATATGCGGGATATACGCACGGTATATGCAAGAGAGAGGGATGCAGACCTGTCTTTCATGCCAGTAACGAGCTTTCCGCCCTCTCTGGGTTTTTGCAGATGACATTGTTCCCACAGAAGGAGAAACTGGACAATCTAGAGACTCTGAAGTTGGATACCATTTTTGGTTCTTGTCTAAAATATATATATACACCAAGGATTTCTTGGAAATTGGAAGAGCTTTATCCAAATTCAAAGCAGGGCGTGGGGAGCACTTAAGGAAAGAGACAAGGGCTCTGGACARTGACTACCCTTTGGGCGTCTGTACAATCCACACATCTCTGCATTCTGATAGAAGTCTGAACCGTTCGATTTTTTTTTTATTTTGACGAAGAATGTTGGAATTTAACTTTTTTATTATTTTTTTTAATTTGCCTTTTTGCATGCATTCCCAAGAGGTCGTGCTTATGAGCCACTGATGAAAGGAAAGGAAATACATTATTGTGGACTTTCTTCATTCTTGAATGAAACCAACCAACCAACCAACCAATCAAAAAACATCCCCGTAGAAATGATTTTTTTAAGGGGGGAATAAGCTGGGCTCAAACTGTTATATAGAAATCTACCCGGTTCCTAACTTTTTTATTATTATTATTTTTTCCTCTGAGAAAAAAAAAAACATTTTATTTATTTATTGATGACCCATGTTAAAATGCAAATAGATCCGGTGTCTAAATGCATTCCTATTTTTATGATTGTTTTGTAAATATCATTGTATATTATTTTTCTGCAATAAATAAATATGTTTGAAATTTTAATGACCTTAAAGCTTCTTTCTGAAAACTCAGGGTTGGAGCTGGAGATGAATACCTGCTTTTTGAGCTGTAAAGACACCCAAGAGAGAGGGGGCACTAGTATAAACAAACCAGGCGAAAAACGCAAATAAACTAGCTACTGACAGACACAGGCATGTTATTTATAGAGACAGCTTTATTATTCCTCACTGAWGCTCGCTGAATTTGGGGCAAGGTATATCTCCTCTTTCTCTTTCTCTCCCTTYTCTCATCATAACGTTGCTCCGTGCAAACTCTCCTCTCATCATAACGCGGTACTCCGTGCAAAGAAGATGTTCAAGCTGCGGCGGGCTGCTTGCCCCGAAATGTGCAGCAGGAGAAGGGCCCATTCMCCGGCCCCTGGGCCAGGCGTTTTTGCTGGTATACTTTAGGAAGAGGCATTGTTATTATTATTATCATCATCATCATTATCATTATTTTAAGAGTATATCCACGGGCAAAGAGGAGAAAAAGTCAAGCTGAAACAGGGGAGTGTCCAGCGAGCAGGGTTTTCCGGTGGAAGTGATGTTTAGCTGTTCTGCTCTCTAGGGTTTTATATAATACAGACTAGAGATCAAATTTGAGTTGTTCAAAGCACGAAAGAATCTGCTAACTGGCCTTTTCCTTTTCTACACGTAGAGGCATTCTGCCTCTCTCTCTCTCTATATATATATATATTTTCCAGGGTTCCTAGGATGTGGCAAAAAAAAAAAAAAAAACAGATGTAGAGATGTAAATGAGAGCAAATCTGCAGATTTGAGAGCTCGGAAGGAAGGTGAAAGTGGAAGGTGCTAAAGCCAAAAAAAAAAAAAAAAAAAAAAAAAAAAAAAAAAAAAAAAAAAAAAAGCAACCGGGCAGCTGATTCCGCCTTCCCGCCTCCGCTGTCACTTGCTCATCCCGCAGCGCTCCGCGGCCGCTCGGGGCCCCAGGATGCGCTGCCTGGTGCCTCCGGTCGCTGCGCGGCTGCGGAGGGTGCGCGGAGGCGCAGAGCCCTGCGATGTCAGCAGAGTGCCCCACTCTGCCAGGGACGCTACCGCGGGGATGCATCCAGTGTYGAGGGTAAATAGGATGGGTGTTTATCCAAAACAGAGGCTGTTTGCTTAGCCCAGGTTGAGTCGCCTCTCTTGGCTGAACGTTTCTGTTTCCTTACCCACATATTACCGCCGATTGCTGACATAACAGCACTATGAATTTAATATCATGCATATTTTAGGCCGCTGCGCAATGTTTACAGTAGAGAGCTCGCAGTCCTTGTTTGCACCAACGGATTAGCGAGCGCTTGGAAATTGGATGAGGGCTCCGGTGGTCGCGGCCCCCCGGCCCGGCGGGGAGGATGAAGCGGCTCCCGAYTGCCGGGGTCCTGCTGTGCTCCCCACATCCCCCTGCGGGGCCCCGCACCTCTCGGAAAAGGCAGCTGCGGTGGGACCGGCCCCCGAGGAGAAGGTAAAGTGTGACTGTGATGGGGCTACAGGAAAAGCGAGGTCGTGGGGAGAAGGCCCAGGGCGTGGAAGGGACACTTGGGGGACCTTGGGGGTCGAGGGGTGGATTTGTTTGCTCCCTTTAGTGTAAGAAACTCCACTAGGAAAAAAAAAAAAAAAAAAAAAAAAAAAAAGAGAAAGAAAGGGAGAGAGAGAAAGAAAGGGGGAGGAAAAACAGTCCCAGATTTAAAAGAGAGGAGATCGGGAAGGGATGAGGAGATGAGCTGCTCTGTGCTAAGGGGAAAGTATGTTATATGGACAGGGATATCTGTGAAATATAAAAGAGGAATATCAAGYACACTGTAAAAAAGGCGGACTAAGTTCTACTTGCCCTTAGAAAMGGGCTGAGAAATCCCGAGCTGTTCCGCTTTGAAGGTTTTAAGCCTGATAGACGCCGTTGTAGCAAGCGAGCGGTCTTGCGCCTTGCTTGTGGTATGCTTGCTGTGAGGTGGAGCACACGAAGAGGGGAGAAATCCTCAATTTCTGTCCATAGCGCTCACACTGCCCTCGGGTCCCCTCACGTTGCCTTTGGGCCTCTGAGTCTCCCTCGGGCACCGCTGAACACCCGGATGCCGGGGCCTTTTTCCAATGACTGCAGAGCGTTGCCTTTGCTTCATTGAAAAAAAAATCAAGATCAAAAACAAACAAACAAAAACCACCACCAGCAGCAAAACATAAAGAGGAGATAACCCTGGATTTGAAATCCCAACGTAACCGTGCCTGACTTGGAAGATGGGATTGCAGAGACCTAGAGCTCCTAAGGCTTGAGCCAAAAGCGATTAAGTCACAGTCAGGCATACAGTAGAACAACAACAACAACAACAAAAATGTATATTAATTTGCCTTCGGGGAATTTTAAACACCCTTGTGATCAGGATTTCCTGAGCGTGCCCCAACCCTTGGGAGCCRGCGCTGCTTTCGCTCCTTTCCCCGAAGCACCAGCGTGTCCCGTTTGCCCACAGAGAGCAGAAGAGCCCCGGGCGCCCGTGTCGCCGCGGGGTCCCGCGCAGCGCGGCGCGGGCGCGGAGGCCGCGGTGCCTCCTGCGCTGCGGCGGGCGGGGGGCGCCGGCCTCGGGTCCCGGCGCATTCCTGGGTTTGGCAGCGGCCGCCCCGCTGCTTTCCCCGGGCCCGTATCGGGTTCCTCGCCGGCGTATGATTTCACTTGAAGTGCTGCCCAGGAGCTCTTCAAAGTGCGCGCTGCTCCCGCTCCCATGATGTCAGGCGGTTTTCCCTGCATCTGTAATTTCAAACAAAACAAACAAACGCGCGGGGGAGGGGGCACGGCACGACAAATGTCGCAGAAGACGCGGCGCGGGTCACCTGCGGAGCGAGCACCTGCCGGGACGCGCCGAGCGCGCCCGCGGAGCGGCGCGGAGCGAAGGGCGCGCAACCTCCGCGCCCGACCTCGCTCCTGGCGCTCCCCTTCCCTTCACCTGCCCCCGCCGCAGCGGCCGGTGGAGAAAGGGAGCGCTCGGCCATAAATTAGCATCCTTGGGGAGGGGAGAGCGGCTGTGGCGGCGGGTCTAATCAGCGCCATGGAGGGGACCGGGGTGCTCAAGGCCGAAAATACAAAATAAAAAGAGACACGCAACTCCCCGTCCAACCAGGGCTTGTTTTATTTGCTGAACAGCGTAACCTGTCCTCAGTAAACATGGCACAGGATGTATTTTACATTAACTTCTGCACCAGCTTCTCTCGACTTCAGTCCACTTGGCAAATCAAAGCACGTGTCCTTTGAAGAAGGTGTGTAATTGGAGTTTAAGGCATGTATGGAATTCCCAGATGTCTATAAAATAAGAAGGAGCATTTGGCAGGTCACTTGAAGGTGGAGCAGGTTAAAATCACTTGTACGAAAGTCCCCCTTTTCTTTTTTAAAAGCAAACAGCCTGCCATTTATAAGGACCGAATGATCAGGACTGTGGGAGGCTTAGAGAGGTTTTACAGAACAGGAACAACAAAGCTCCGGAGACATAATGATGATGATAACATCCGCCGAAAAAATCCAAAATAAAGCCTAAAACGAGGAAAAAAAAAATCTGATCGAAGGGAAATCTTTCCCTTCTCCTGGGAAGATTCTCCTTCTCTGTCTCCTCGCCGGTTTAGGCACTCTCGAGTCCCTATCATTTAGGTATCGTTCGTATCTTTGCAGGCTCTTCGCCGTTATTTTTATTAAGGGTTAGTATCAAATCTGCAGCAACTCTAAGAAACTTTTCTTATGCTCTGCACGAAAGATAATGCATTTCACTTCAAAATAATCCAGGCGAACC